TCTCTCTTCTCTTCTCCTCATATCCTGGTTCAGGTGAAGGATCAAAGATGTCGTTGCAGTGGATTGGAGTGTCTTGGAGTGTCTTGTAACTTTTCTCCATCTGTAGCACCTCATGTTCTTCATTCACTCCTTCACTCTCTCCCTCTATGATGTACAGCTGTGTGTAAATCCTGTTCAGGAGAGTCTGATTCTCTTGTAGTTTGATTCCCTCAAATAAGCTCTCATATCTGTTCTTCATGCTGGTTTTGTGCTGGTCTTTGACTCTCTGAAGATCATCAAGCACTGGTTGGTGAGAATCGAGCTGCAGGGCCGCTTCTGTGTCATGATGACTGATGTGTTTCTGACAGGAGGAGGATGTGCTGGTCTGACAGGACACATATCGGATCTGCTCAGCTCTCCCACCACTGAAAATAAGACAGAGACACAAAAACAAACAGAAAAGACCTTTGTGAAAATAAAGAAACTATTTAAATATGTTTAATATGAAAATCATACCACATGTAGAAATAAGTGTTTGCTCTTTCAGACAAATGTATATCTATTGTAGTGTGATATGGTTACATGTAATTAATTAGCATGTAAATGGCAACAGATTTAATTTTATCTTGATCAGCTGATATGAATCCTGCTTTTTAAAAGTTCCTTCATATTTGCTCTCACTGTCTGGTTTGAGCAGTCTTGCATCTTGACTTCCACTTGTTACTTGTAATACATGTTAAAGAGCTTTAGCCATATGAAATGTGTCCATGTGTCTACCTGATGATACTCACACAGGGTCAAAGGTCACTGCTCCATCACTGAATTGTGGGGGCTCTTGCCTCTTCATGGACACACAGTTGGATACTGGAGAAGCTGTTCTCTTTCTCTTCCTGATGTTGATACTGAGGAAAAACAAAACAAATATTTTAAAAAAATGTTTGTGCATTTTTTTTGTCTGCTCCATTAAATTAACACTGAGCAAAACTATTGTAATTTATAGAGCAGTATATATGCATTATGCATAGTTTTAGAGAGAAAACATGTGTTATTAATGGCAGGGTAATCAGGGCTAAAGGAGCGCGATCATGCGATGGTGAAGGCATCAATACAAAGTTGATTCTGTGCTAAATGTATCTAATATTTCATTGTTTTTAAAGTGTTATTGATTTAATTAGGCGTTGAGAATCACAAAAATTATTGCATATTTTTTTGAGGACACTTCCATTGTAAGTGCCTCAGCGTAATCCCAATTTTTAGCTTTTTGCAACGTAAAAGAGGGATGGATCATTATTACGCATTACAGTCCTTCACGTCTATTGCGATCTCGAAACTCCGGCCAGTTGATAATACCTAGAATATCAAAATCGACTGCAGGCGGGAGATCCTTTTCCTATTTAGCACCAAAACCGCGGAATAGTCTTCCTAAACTTGTCCGGGAAGCAGACACTCTGTCAGTTAAAAGATCGATTAAAGACACATCTCTTTACCCTAGCATACATCAAACACTATAGACTGCTATAATTCAATGTTAGGCTGCATAGGTTAGGTCAGCCGGAACTGGGAACACTTCCCTTAAATCCTGATGTACTCGTAACATCATAAGAAGAAAGGCATCTACGCTAATATTAGTCTCTCTGTTTATCCCGAGGTTTTCCCACAGCCTGCCGGATCCAGGCCGTATCCAGATCTGACGAGGAGCTTCACCTGGACCCGATGACAACGCAGTGCTGAAGTGCCAACTAGCCTCTCCCTATGGAGGATCCCTTTCCCTCTCTACAGATAAAGCACTGTGGAAATTACGGTTCACGTACCAACTGCGAAGTGATAAAATAAAAAATTCTGTATCAAAATTTATAGGCAAGACAAGCAGTTTGTTACTGCGCATGTGAACACCATCAGCGTTTATCACGGGTTCAGTTTAGAGAGAACGGTGTCGTCTTAGCGGACCCTAATTTAATAACAAATTATCATAAACATTAAAAAATTTAATTATTCAAAAACCGCTATAAAACCAAACCAATCTCTGTTAGCTTAAATGATATGAAACAATATACATTGTTAAAAGCGCTACATAAATGAGGATGACTTAACGGCAAAGGAATATTGCGGATTCAGTAAAAGTGATGCTCAATTGACATTTTTGGGATAATGTTTATTACCACAAAAATACCTCTTCTCTTAATTTAAACAAAACAAAAACACTTTCATTGCAAGTGCCTCACTGACCGTATAATCCCAATTTTTTGCTTCTTGAAACGAAAAAGAGAAATGGATCAAGATTTGCTTTGTCCTGAAATAACATCGAACATGTTTGGATTTGGTAGACAGTACTTGGTCTGAGAAGTTTGAGAACCTCTGATTTGGTTTTTAGGAGTGGCAACTTATTATTGTAAGTAAGTAATGTTTATTTATATAGACAGACTTTTAAAGACAAGGAAGGGTCATAAAGTGCTTTACAGTAAAAAAATTAAATAAATAAAAAAATATTGGAGCATTTTGCAAATATTTTCCAATTGCCATTTCTCCTTCAGTCAAACTGACCTTCCTAGTACTAAGCTTTAATGTCAGAGGTCACCCTGATGATTATCAGTAGGCATCTGAAAGTTTACCTGGTTAGGGGCCTCGCAAGCACACTCAGTCAAGTTTTACATGTTTTCTTATAGAAATGATAATAAAGTGGGTAAAGTTTATGAATTAAAAGTTGAACAGAATGAAAGTTAATGCGGTTCAATGGTTTCTGAGATTCGTGGGTTTATTTTATTGAGCAACAAGTTTCAAGTTCATCAGTTATGAAACGAGCTCAATTCATCTACAGTACAAACAGCTCAACAGAAGCTGTTGATAAAATTAAAAAACAAACAAAAAAACAGAAAGCTATGACTATGATTATTGTTTGTTCTAACCTGTTTATTCATACCTAAAACTTAATTTTTTTAGTTATTGTTATGTTTGAAGAGTTCAGATGCAAAAGCCTCTAAGTGCCATTTGAAATTATCTTCTAGAATGATCATTTTTATCAAGCTTGTATATTTAAGTTCAGTAATTTCACTTAAATGACAATTAATAGGTTATCTTCATTGCCATTTAAGTGAAATTACTGAACTTAAATATACGAGCTTAATAAAAATGATCATTCTATAAGAAAATTTCAAATGGCACTTAGAGGCTTTTGCATCTAAACTCTTCATATTTATATATTATATATATATATTATTAATATATATATATATATATATATATATATATATTATATAACATGTTCATATTTGCATATTTTGGCATCTTTTTATAGTCTCACCTTACATTACAAGGTTAAATTGGTTATAATAGTGTTTTAGAGTTTAGCCTAAATGCAGCCACTGCGTACTATAGCCATCTAGTGGCTATTGATATTACTGCTTTTCTGTTAATTTCATACCAGCATAAGACACCACATTTTTAGGTTTTGGCTGTCTGAACTTACTGGAATGATTTTTTTTACTAAAGTTAAAGAAATATTAAATATATCATAAAAATAAGTATAATTTATATAGGAAATATAGTTATTTTAGAGGAATATAAATTCAATTGTCCACAAACAGGGAATTAAGGGCTGTAATGTGAACACGGCTTGAGGGCTAGTGCGCCTTTTTAAAAAGACTAGCAGCCTTGTCACCTGACCAGAATATTGTGCGCTGATTGGCTAAAATTGACTTATAGGGTTGTGTTCACAAACAATTTTTAATTGTTTACCCTATCACAAACAGGGTAATTGTCGGTTTCTGCCTTGACAATGAACAATACCGGTCTTGAGGCAAAGAAGAAGAGCAGAAAAAAACAATATAGAAGTAAGAATTATAACTACATTTTTTGTGAGTCATTGACGTTTATGTGATATTTTGAGGAGCTACTTTAGAACTGGAACGGACCACTAGTGGGAACTTTTTCATTTTATTTACATTTAATGCAAGTTGAATGTAAAACTTTATTTTGACTTTTGCTGTTGATTGCTTTCACTTCAGCAATAAAATCCTAAGTGTCTTATATAAAAAAAGTAGCCCAAAGCATTCATGAATTAAAACTCTTAAAGATTTTAAATCACCAAATGGAGTTTGAATGTCACCTAGCGGCCATATTGGCTACTGCGCCTAAAACTCCCAGATATTGATAGTTTGAGACAAATTTGGAAGACAACTTGGTTGGATTTACTACTTTGACTTGCAGTTTTAGGGTGTCCAGGCACAGGCTTTATTAATAGAAAATAAAAATAAATGTTATCCCTACTGTGACGATCTTAACACATTAAGTACGGCAGCCATAAGTTAATAGGGTCACCAGGAGAGAGGCTAATTATGCTAACTTATCTGGATTTGCAAGACTATCATCTATATAGATATATTCAATTTGGATACATATTTTATATAGCCCTTTTACCCTTTATTTGAACTATATATGCACCCATGCACACACTTGTGTTTGTGTATGTCATTTCCAGTATTGTTGTTTTTAGGGGCAGTGAATATAATATAATATTATATAATATCTTGGCGCCAACAGAATCTGGACCGGCCCTGAACTTCATGATACTCACACGGGGTTAGAGGTCACAGCAGGTCCATCACTGAGTGTAGGGGGTTCACGCATGGAGTTGTTACTCTTCATGGACACACAGCTGAATCCTGAAGATTGGCCATTACTGAACATAGGGGGATTATTCATGGAGTTGTTACTCTTCATGGACACACAGCTGAATCCTGGAGATGGTCCATTACTGAGTGCAGGGGGTTCACGCATGGAGATGTTACTCTTCATGGACACACAGCTGAATCCTGAAGATTGGCCATTACTGAACATAGGGGGATTAATCATGGAGTTGTTACTCTTCATGGACACACAGCTGAATCCTGGAGATGGTCCATTACTGAGTGTAGGGGGATTAATCATGGAGTTGTTACTCTTCATGGACACACAGCTGAATCCTGAAGATTGTCCATTACTGAACACAGGGGGATTAATCATGGAGTTGTTACTCTTCATGGACACACAGCTGAATCCTGAAGATGGTCCATTACTGAACACAGGGGATTAATCATGGAGTTGTTACTCTTCATGGACACACAGCTGAATCCTGAAGATTGGCCATTACTGAACATAGGGGGATTATTCATGGAGTTGTTACTCTTCATGGACACACAGCTGAATCCTGGAGATGGTCCATTACTGAGTGCAGGGGGTTCACGCATGGAGATGTTACTCTTCATGGACACACAGCTGAATCCTGAAGATTGGCCATTACTGAACATAGGGGGATTAATCATGGAGTTGTTACTCTTCATGGACACACAGCTGAATCCTGGAGATGGTCCATTACTGAGTGTAGGGGGATTAATCATGGAGTTGTTACTCTTCATGGACACACAGCTGAATCCTGAAGATTGTCCATTACTGAACACAGGGGGATTAATCATGGAGTTGTTACTCTTCATGGACACACAGCTGAATCCTGAAGATGGTCCATTACTGAACACAGGGGGATTAATCATGGAGTTGTTACTCTTCATGGACACACAGCTGAATCCTGGAGATGGTCCATTACTGAGTGCAGGGGGTTCACGCATGGAGATGTTACTCTTCATGGACACACAGCTGAATCCTGAAGATTGGCCATTACTGAACATAGGGGGATTAATCATGGAGTTGTTACTCTTCATGGACACACAGCTGAATCCTGGAGATGGTCCATTACTGAGTGTAGGGGGATTAATCATGGAGTTGTTACTCTTCATGGACACACAGCTGAATCCTGAAGATGGTCCATTACTGAACACAGGGGGATTAATCATGGAGTTGTTACTCTTCATGGACACACAGCTGAATCCTGAAGATGGTCCATTACTGAACACAGGGGGATTAATCATGGAGTTGTTACTCTTCATGGACACACAGCTGAATCCTGAAGATGGTCCATTACTGAACACAGGGGGATTAATCATGGAGTTGTTACTCCTCATGGACACACAGCTGAATCCTGAAGATGGTCCATTACTGAACATAGGGGGATTAATCATGGAGTTGTTACTCTTCATGGACACACAGCTGGATCCTGAAGATGGCCCATCGCTGAGTGTAGGGGGTTCATGCATGGAGATGTTACTCTTCATGGACACACAGCTGAATACTGGAGATGTTGCTCTCTGAGTGCGAACAGACGCCTCCTCCTCTCTCTCCTCACACACACTCATTTTACAGGTACTGTTCTCCTCATTTTATGAGAGACTTGATTCCAGACCTGTATGTGGACACAGAAAACATGCACAAAACACACTGAATTGACACATTTTATTTAAATAACATTTATTTTACTTTATCTTAACATCAACAGTTTTTCTCCAATTACTGTAAATGTTGGTTTTTAGAGCAACATGTCGGCCACACTTTCAAACACAGCAGCCTTGTTTAAACACACTGGATTAAAAAAAAAAAAGTTTAAACACTGGATTCACCTTCACTTTAATAACTGCTTAACTCTTGCAGGTGTTTTTCACAATCCGTTTTCCGTCTCGAATTAAGCAAATATGGTTTTAATTTTACGCTTTTATGAGATTATTCTGCAACTAGGCCACACTTCTTTTCACCACTCTTAACACACACTTAGGGGGAGAGCGGGGCAATGTGAGACATCGGGTAATGTGAGACACCCCCTGTATCTAGTCAACAAAACACATTTGTGGTTGTGTGACCATTATGTTTTAAGCCCATTCCATTTCCCCTTGGCCATAAAGGAGAGGAGCTCATGGTGCTGTTATAAACATGTTTTTTTCACAAAAATATGTTTTTTGCATGTAAAAGTAAATTTTCTTGCTGTCAACTTAATCAACTGTTGTGGTAAAGCAAATTGATTCAGGTAGAAAAATGTATATCATACATGTTGATGAACTATTAACATATGAATCCATGTGATGATGATAGCTGAAGAGTATCCTGAATTACTAAGAGAGATCGTTTTTTGCTAAAATGTGGCAGTGGGGTAAAGTGAGACAAATACTATGGGGTAAAGTGAGACATGAGGCACAAGTTAAGTTTAGTCTTAAAAATATTTTAATGTAATATTACATTACATATGTTTTATTTTTTAATGTCATTGACATTGTAGAAAAGCCATCATGCCAAGATAATACACCAGGAAGACAACCTGGGGCAAAACACCCCTTGAGGAGATGGAGAGTGCAGCCGCTGAGGTCAAGGAAGGAAAGATGTCTATCCTATGTCTGTTTTAAAAATGTTGAATATTGAAGCCAAAATTTTCAAACGCTGAGCAGCTGTAGCAGACACAGATGAACGGCTAGTGCGGACATTGGATGTGCTGTGGCAACTGCATGAACCTGTGGAGAGGCGGCTCAGACGAAAGAACCAATCAGGCTGCTTCGTGCCTTGGCATATCAGAGCCATCCAAAATGGGTGTGGCCTAAGCCTTTTTATTGGCCAGTTCAGCCAAAGGTAGTCAGGTTAAGTCGACTGAAGCGATCCCCTGATCAAAGCCACATACATTTTGAATGTGGAGGGGGTACGACCCACGTCCATACTCCCTTGTAAGAAGGCGAGTATACTCGATACTTCGCACAAATAGGGGTCCAGGCTCCGTGCAGCGCACCAGCCAGAAATTACCACCCATTTCTGAGCGTAGAGGCATCTAGTTGACAGCGCTCTTGCCTCATGGGGATGGCAAATTAATCGGTTTGCCTGCATGAGGAGGTCTCTCCTCAGCACCACCGCAGCTGTACCAGCATGGAGAACCATAACTGGGTCTTCTAGAGAGGGGTTATTAGTAGCACTACACACTTGCTCTCCCTGATCCATTCGATGACCTGTGGTAACATCGTGACTGGAAGGAATGCATTCAGCGGACGGCTCGGCCAATCATGGGCAAGCACACCCCTGCTCTTCTGAGGCGAAGAGGTCTACCTCTTCCTCGCCGAAGATGCTCTATATTAGCTGAACCGTCTGTTGGGTGAAGAGACCATTCTCCTGGGGGAACATTGTCTCTAGATAACATATCCGCACCCTGGTTCAGGATGCATGGCACATGCGCCGCCCTTAGGGAGCACAGGTTGTGCTGAGCCCATAAAATTCGTTTTTTGGCCATGGCGTGCAGGTTGCTTGACCTGAGAATGCCCTGGTGATTTATATAGGACACCACTGCCATGCTGTCTGTCCGGACCAGGACATGGTGGCCTTTCAAGTCCGAGAGAAAGGCTTTCAGCGATAGAGCGACTGATCTCATCTCTAGACAGTTTATATGTAGCCGTTTCTCCAGGCTTTACTATGAGACGAGCCTGCCCTCGTAAAGGGCCCTCCAACCTAGGCTGGATGTATTTGTCAAGATCACTTTTCTCCTTTTAAACACACCCATACTCACTCCTGACTGATACCAGTCGTCCACTTTCCAGGGAGCTATAGGGCTCTGATAAAAAGTAAGTGGATCAGTTTACCCCCAGCTGGTTCACTTTACCCCCTTGATTTCTCTGGTCTGTCTCAGTTTACCCCTGGGCTGGGGTAAAGTGAGACACAAGACCACTTTTTTAAAAACAATCATATTTTCACTGCCCTTCGTCCTGAATACATTCAGATAATTTCCATTGGTAGAAAACATCCTGAATTAATGGGAAATGTATAAATCTTACTGATATATCATTTTAGCTCACTTAGAGGAGAGCAAATGTAAAAAATGTCTCACTTTACCCCACTCTCCCCAATAGCCTAGATTATAAATGAGTAGCCTAAATAGTTTAAATTCAACCAAAGATTTAGGCTAAACATTAAACTTAAAATATCATGTTAAAGGGAAAAAAAAGCGTAAGTGTAAAAAGTTTAACAATTTTCGGCCATTTAATGAGTGTTACAGTAGACGTGATTACTAAAGTAATTTTCCACTTTATCATGAGTTCGTCATTATGTCTGTTTGTTTAGACGCAAATACTCCATCAATAATACAGAGATGAAAAGTTTAACGAACTTTAACGAAAGTTTAACGAACTTACTGTAACATGTGAAGCGATTGCTGATGTTCTATCTCCTGTAATGGCGTCTTTAACGTTACAGTCGTCGGCTGCTTTCGGTTTCACTCTGTGAGAGTAAGCTCCACCTCGAATGTAGTCTTTTCACACTTCCGGGTTTAGTAAGTAAATCAATAGTAGGCCTATCTGGCCGTTTTTCAATACCAAACTTAAGCAAACTTCTTCTTGCGTCCTTGGTTGTTCGGACTTGCCAAGTTCGACTCAGGAGAACGAACTCCCGAGGACGAGATGACGCACGTTCTTCTGCAAATGAAACAGAACGTCCTTGAATGTTGATCGCGTCACTCAGCACGTTCTGCTGCCCCACACAGAAAACACCAACACCCCACCACTGATTGCCCTCATTATGGCAACATGTACTGTACATTTTTATAGTCATTTAAAAGTCATGGATACTCCGGTTATCTCTTTTTGTATATTTTAGGCAACAATAAAACAAAATATCCTACAACTCCCTCTTTTCATATGTTATAAAACACCACTCTTTTATAAAAGTCGTGCCTTTTTTTCATAAAAAAAAAACCTAAACATAATTAGCCTAATGGCCATATGGTTCAGGCAACGCGCACATTGATTTTCTTCACTGCATATAACAAAATTAACATTCTTTTTTTGTATTTTTCATTTTAAAAATATGAAACTTTTTTTATTGACATTTTATAATATATATATATATATATATATATATATATATATATATATATATATATATATAATAAAATTACACAACCCTAAAATTATAATAAAATTATAATAAATATAATAAAATATAATAAAATTACACAACCCTGTCTCTTTTTGTTAAATCTAATGTCAGTTTTAATGATCAATAATATCTAGCCTATAAGGTATATAGTCTATAATGAGAAATAAGGCAATCAATTCAATTCATATTGCTCTTTAATAGGCTACTGTGATGATCTGTGGCTGGAGTGACTGCTTGAGCCGCTGGGGGGCACTCCTAGGTTATTGATTCATTCATGTTTTACCCTAGACTGATTATGGTTTATTTGTTGCCCCTGTTTTAGATTGAGCTCCCGGATTTAAGCCTGAGTTTTCCCTTTGTTCGGTGCTCAGTATTGTATGTGTTTGACTACATTACCTAGCCTTGTTCCAGTTCCCTGTATTCTAGTGTTTCGGTTCCCTGTTTATCTGCCTGTTCCCGGTTTCCCGTTTGCCTTATCCCTGCATGGATTTGATGTTTGTTTGGACTGCTTACCTGGTTTTGACCCCTGCATGTTTCCCTGTACCTGTCTCTGGATTCTCCTCGAAAGAAAGCTTGCATTTCTATCACTTCTGTCCATGTTCCATGTGCAGTTTCATGACAGCTACAAAGTTATAGTTAATAGCCTAAATATTTAAAGTTATGAAACGTCTCAGGTTACGAATTTAACCCTGGTTCCCTGATAGGGAACGAGAGCTGCGTTGTCAAACGCGATGGAAACTATAAAGCACCCTTGAGATCACACCGCGACAGCTTCTGTGAAAGGCCTGAAGCAAGTCGATCAGGGCATGCAGGAAGTATGGCAGGCGAACGCAGCTCTCGTTCCCTATCAGGGAACCAGGGTTACATACGTAACCTGAGACGTTCCCTTTCAAGGGAACTTCGAGCTACGTTGTCAAATGCAATGGGAACCGCATACCCACTATGCCATGCTGAGAAATGCCCGTTCTGTGTGAAGTCCAATGTGCACACTAAGAAGCGAGCAACCTAGCCCGGGGAGTGGAAAGGTCTAGGTCATAAAACCTGACAAATGTATGCAGTGAGGACCACCCTGCCGCATTACAAACGTCATGAAGAGAAACGCCCGAAATTAAAGCCTTAGAGGCAGCCATACTCCTAGTAGAATGGGCGCGGACCTCCATAGGTGAGGGACGTCCGACCGCATTAAAAGCAATAGAGACAGCCTCAACTATCCACTTGCTCATACTAGTCTCGATGCCGGGCAACCTTTCTTAGTCGAACCAAAGCAGACAAATAATTGCTCTGACTTACGCCACAGGGTTGTGAACATAAGCATCCAATGCCCGAATTGGACATAACAGATTGAGACTTTCCTGATCTGGGGTATTGAAGGGTGGAGGACCGAAGGCCTGCAGCACAATAGGACCCATCACATTAGTAGGGACCTTAGGAATATAACCCGGCCTAGGGTATAGAAATGCTTTAACCATACCAGGTGCGAATTCCAAACATGAAGGAGCAATCAAAAGAGCTTGCAGATCTCCAATTCTCTTAACAGAAGAAATTGCGAGAAGAAACAAAGCTTTTAAAGTGAGGAGTATTCTGAAAACTCTTCGATAGGCTCGAAGGGAGACAAAGCCAGACCCTCGAGTACAATGGCCAGGTCCCATGCCGGTGCTCTGGAGTGCTAGGCAGGCCTCAGCCTCAAAGTTCCACGGAGAAACGAGTTATTAGAGGATCTCTCCCCAGAGAAGAAGCCCCCGCAGGGGATCTAAAGGCAGATATAGCCGCAACATACACCTTCAAGGTGGAGGGAGTTAGTCCAGCAGAGAAACGGTCTTGCAAGAAATCGAGAAATGTACCAACCGGGCAGTCAACAGGATTAAAAGCACGTTCTCTGCACCATGTAGAGAACAATTTCCGTTTGAAATAATAAAGTTTTCTTGTGGAGGGAGCTCTGGATTGAAGAATGGTCTCTACGACCTCAGTCGAGAGACCAGCATTTATAAACTGCGCCCCCTCAGAGACCAAGCCCATAGTTTCCACAACTTGGGGCGAGGGTGAAATATTGTGCCCCCCGCCTCTGAAAGCAGGTCCGCAAACCATATTCTGGTCGGCCAGTGCTGGGCTACTAACAACAGATGAGCCCCTTCCTGGCGAACCCTTTCCAGAACTCCCGGGAGCATTGCTATCGGGGGAAATGCATACAGGTGTAGCCTCAGCCACACCTGCACCATCGCATCCAGTCCGAGAGGAGCTGGATGCATGAGAGAGAACCATAACGGACAGTGAGTTGTCTCCTGAGTTGCAAATAGATTGACCTCGGTCTGACCAAAGTTCTCCCATAGGAGCTCCACTACCTCGGGGTGGAGTGTCCACTCCCCGGGCCTCAGCCCCTGCCTCGACAGAATATCGACCCTGGAATACATATTGCCCTCAGTGACAACAATTTCCCCTGGGTCAATAGGAGAAAACCCCTTGGTCCTGAGCCACCACTGCAGGGGTCTCATGTACAGAAGGCCAAAAGTGATTACGATGGACGCAGCTGCCATGAGCCCCAACAGTCTCTGAAACTGTTTCACAGTGAGTGACTGGCCTAGTTTCATACCTAGGCCGACGGATAGGATATTGGTAAGCTATGCCCCCAAAAGCAAACCTCAGGAACCTCCTGTGATGAGGATGGATGGATATGTGAAAATAAGCGTCCTTCAAGTCTATTGTGGCAAACCAGTCCTTGGACTGAAACAGTGACACGATCTGTTTGAGTGTAAACATTCTGAACTTGACCTTTTGAACTCTGCTGTTTAGCTGACACAGATCTAGAATAGGACGTCTTAGAATAGGACCATCTATCTTGGCAACGATGAAGTATCGGCTGTAAAACCCTGACTCTCTGCTGGTAGGAGGAACCCTTTCATAGCCCCTTTTTGCAAAAGCGTCATCACTTCCTGTTCCATAACCCGAGCCTGCTCGGGGACCACCACGGTGGGAAAGACCCCTAGAAATCTGGGTGAACGAGAACAGTTTTCTTTTCTTTTAACTGAATTCTGTAACCCTTTTCTATCACATGCAGGACCCATTGAGGAATATCCAGCCGTAGTTTCCACCCATTAATTCCACTAAGGGAACCAGTCTCTCGAGACTGGCCTCGGGATTTTGTAGAACGGACATTTCGGTGCCCAGAAACGGCGAACCGACCGGGAACAACCGAACTGCCCATCTACGAACCTCCTCGTAGGACTGTATGAGGACGCTGACACCTCGGCGCCCTGAAACGGCGAGCCGACAGGGAAACCGATGTGCCCGTGCTGCGATGCTCCTCATAGCATCGTCCCCCAGAGGGCTTTCCTAGAGATGACAGTCCTCAGATCTTGCCAACCCTCAGGAATTTGTTGAACGGACATTTCGGTGCCCAGAAACGGCGAACCGACCGGGAACAACCAAAATGACCATTCTACGGCCCTCCTCGTAGGATCGTATGGGGACGCTGACACCTTGGCGCCCTGAAACGGCGAACCTGACAGGGAACATCCGATGTGGCAGTGCTGCAATGCTCCTCATAGCATCGACCCCCAGAAGGCTTTCTTAGAGATGGCAGTCCTCAGATCTTGCCTACCCTCATAATTTTGTTGAACGGACATTTCGGTGCCCAGAAACGGCGAACCGACCAGGAACAACCGAACTGACCATTCTACGGCCCTCCTTGTAGGACTGTATGGGGACACTGACACCTCGGCGCCCTGAAACGGCGAACCGACAGGGAACAACCGATGTGGCAGTGCTGCAATGCTCCTCATAGCATCGTCCCCCAGAGGGCTTTCTTAGAGATGGCAGTCCTCAGATCTTGCCTACCCACATAATTTTGTTGAACGGACATTTGGGTGCCCAGAAACGGCGAACCGACTGGGAACAACCGAACTGACCATTCTACGGCCCTCCTCGTAGGACCGTATGGGGACACTAGCCGCGTTTCCACTGCCGGGCCAGGGCCGGGCCGTGCTAGTGCGTGCCAGGGCCAGTCGCGTTTCCACTGTCACTTCCGGGGCTTGATCGGGGCTTCCTCAGGGCCAACGGCCAGGATTTCTGGCCCGTCGAATACCTTGGGCCAGAGGGGGCCAGCTCGGGCTAGAGGCGTGTTCAAGGTAAAAGGCGGAGTTTATCGGTGTTATGGAACGTTATGATCTGAAGCAAGATGCACATAGGGGTGTCCATGTTTAACCGATTAACCGTTTAAAATTGCATAACATTTTAATTTGAACTGTAGGCCTGCCAAATGCTGCGCAACAATATATAGGCTATATACATATCGACGAATTTTCAGATATTTGTTTGATTTTTTTGCCCCTTAAACATTTAAAATAT